ATGAAAAACAAGTCAACAGCTTGCTAAAGGAGACCCAAAAAATACTGAAGAAAATAACACCTTAAGAAACAGCCTAACCCAAATGGCAAAAGAGGTCCAAAAAGCCAATGAGGAGAAGGCCCTAAAAAGCAAAATTGGCCAAATGGAAAAGGAAGTCCAAAAGCTTACTGAAGAAAATACTTCCTTAAAAAATTAGAATAGAGCAATTGGAAGCTAGTGACTTTATGAGAAATCAAGACACTGTAAAACAAATCCAAAAGAATGAAAAATTAGAAAACAATGTGAAATATCTCATTGGAAAAATAACTGACCTGGAAAATAGATCCAGGAGAGAGAATTTAAAACTTATTGGACTATCTGAAAGCCATGATCAAAAAAATAGCCCCAAAGGAAAACTCCTAGGAATATTGTAGCCAAATTTCAGAGTTCCCAGGTCAAGGAGAAAATATTACAAGCAGCCAGAAAGAAAGAATTCAAGTATTATGGAAACACAATCAAGATAACACAAGATTTAACAGCTTCTACATTAAAGGACCGCAGGGCATAGAATATTATATTCTGGAGGGCAAAGGAGATAGGATTGCAACCAAGAATCACCTATCCAGCAAAACTGAGTATACTTTTTCAGGGGAAAAAATAGAGGACTTTCAAGCATTTTTGATGAAAAGACCAGAGCTAAAAAGAAAATTTGACTTTCAAATACAGGAGTCAAGTGGAACATGAAGAGGTAGACAGGAAGGAGAAATCATAAGAGACTTATTAAGGTTGAACTGTTTACATTCCTGCGTGAAAAGATGATATTTATAACTCATGAGACCTTTGTTAGTATTAGGGTAGTTGGAGAGAAAAAATTATATGTATGGATAGATAGATAGATAGATAGATAGATAGATAGATAGATAGATAGAGGGCACAGGGTGAGTTGAAGATGAAGGGGTTATATCTGGAGAATAAAATTAAGGGATGAGAGAGGATATTACTAGGAGAAGGAGAAAGGGAGAGGTAGAACGGAGTAAATTATCTCAGAAAAAAAACAGAAAAGAAAAGGCTCTTACAGTGGAGAGGAAACCGAGGAAGGTGAGAAGGAATGAGTGAGTCTTATTCTCATAGGATTTGGCTTAAGGAGAGAATAACATACACACTCAATAGGGCATGGAAATCTGTCTTACCCTACAGAAAAATGGGGGGGGGGACAAGAGAGCAAGGGGATGATAGAGAGGAGGGCAAATTGGGAAAGGGGGTAATCAGAGGCAAATACTTCTGAGGAGGGACAGGGTCAAAAGAAAGAATAGAATAAATGGGGGGGCAGGATAGGATTAAGGGAAATAGTGTTAGTATTTCACAACATGTCCACTGTTGAAGTGTTTTGCATCACTGCACGTGTTTAACCTATATTGAGTTGCTTGCCTTTTCAATGAGGGTGGATGTGGAGTGAGGAAGGGAGAAAATGTGGAACCCAAAGTTTTAAAAACACGTGTTAAAAATTGTTTTCACATGCTACTGGGAAATAAGAAATACAGGAAATGAGGTACATAAATCTATCCTGCCCTGCAGGAAAATAGAAGGGGAAGGGGAAAAGAGATGGGGAGGAGAGATAGAAGAGATGGAAGACTAGAGGAAGGGATATTCAGAATGAATGCCATCTTGGGTGCAGGGAGGGGCGAGTTGGGGTGAAAATTTGGAACTCAAAATCTTGTGGAAGTAAATGTTGACAACTAAAAATAAATAAATTTATAAAAGAAAAAAAAAGACTTGACTCAAATGGGATCTCCTCCATGAAACCTTCCCTTATTCTCTTTCTCCCACCTCCAGGTAAAAGTGGCCTTTCCCTCCTTTTATCCACCAATGTTTCATTGGGAGGATATTTATCTCCTTCTTAAATACTGCCTGTGTTCTAGTTATTTGGGTCGATGTCTTGAAGGATCGTAAGCTCTTTGAGAGAAGGAACTATGCCTTATTTGTCTCTATCTTCTTCTTTGCACTGAGTCCCTATTTGTTGAATGAAAAAAAACAAAGTGAGAAAATGGCCCTTATTTCAATAGTAAGACCTGATTATTTAGTTAAACATAGTCTTAAAAAAAAGAAGATAAATTAACCCAAGCCCAGTGGGAAGCTTAGCAAGAATATGGTGACTGGGGACCATGCATTGTGAATTTGTTGGACTGCTGTGAATTCTAATGAGTTTAAATTCCCAACTAAATGTCAACACAGAGAGATGGCCTATTTCCATAGTCTGTAGTGACTGATTTAAAAAGCCACTTGAAAAAAAATGAGCGTTTTGATGTTTAAAGTTTTTGCAGAGAAAGTTAGAGTTGGGAAGGATCTTAATAATTAGCTAGCCCATTCCTACTCCCTATCCCTACTTTTCAGAAGAGCGAACTGAAGGTTAGAAATGTGTCTCTCACAGTTATCTCATGACTACAAGATTCCAGGCAAAATGACTCCCATCACTTCAGCTCTGTACCTTTGCTCATGCTGCCAGCTCTGAATGAAATCCCTCTGCCATCTTCCTCTGCCCAATTAATGTGACATGCAGAACCAGCTCTCAATTCCAGTAGTTTGCAGGCTGTGTTCTAAAGTTCCTTTCTTCTCTGATATTCTGTGATGCAGAAACCCAGGGAACGTTTCTGCTTGCAGAGTGTCTGGGATGCTGAGTGACTCTGTCCTGTCTAAGGAGCGAAGTCTGAATAAGTATAGTCAGAAACATCCATATTGGAGCAATATATGAAAAGCATCTTACTTCAATGATTTGAAAAGTTAACACATTAAAGACAGTGTTTGCAAAAAATACATATTTGGGCCCTTTGGGAATAATAGATAGACTCCTTTCCTTTCTCTTAGAGACTCATCAGCAGTGATGGCTGAGGCTGAACAGCTTCCAGAAAGCCCTGCTACCAATCTACCTTTCAGCAGGTGGGAAATGCCAGACTAACAGCTCTCATCTCATGAGCTGCTCTTCCGTTTTCTGACTCAGCTTCTATTTAAATACCTCTGGGAGCTACCTTTGATAATACTTCAAATGGTTTCCTCTGCCGTGAGTCTTCCCTCCATTGATGCAGATCATGGGCCATTTTATATCCCTTAGACCATTGTTGTGGGTCACCATGGTTAAAAAACAATCATTTCTTGGTGATCAGCCTCCTGGTAATAGGCTCCTTTACACCTGAATAGATTGGTCCTCAGATAACAGACCCACAATACAAGCCCAGGCACATCACCTGAAGCTTTTCTAGATTTAATAGGAACTTTCCAGAGCTCACCAGAAGGGTGGATTTATAGTCAGATGACTTGAGAATTCTATCTCTTCTGATTACTACAGTGGGACCTTGCACAAGTCATTTCCCCTTAATGGGCCTCAATTTCCTCATCTGTAAAATTAGAGGGTCATACCAGATGGTCTCTAAAGTCCCTTACTGCTCTAAATCTATGAAACTATGAAGGCTTTCCTTCATGTAAGTAAGCTTCAGGAGTTTGTAAGGCAAATGATGGGATTACAGAAGACTTGGGTGGAAAGGATTGAGGAGAGTGACCCCCCCCCCCATAGAGCTAAATGTGATGTCCTAAAAGAAAACATGTCTTCTCTCAGGACACCTGTGTAACAGGGGCAATCAGGAGAACCACCTTGCTCTATTGGGCAGAGGAAACCCCCAGAACTGGGCACATGTGCTCTGTAGCCATAGGGAGAGAAAGGTGTTCTAGCTCAGTCCTGAGGGAGGTGCACTTTGGGCGATACATCAATGCTACATTGGTCTCCTTGGGTTTTGTGCTTTGGGATGATGGAAGCCATCCAGAAGAGCATTTGTGGAGGAGCACATGTGCTTGGGTCCCTGGTTAGTGCTTTGAAAGTCCTCAGCATTCTTGGGGCCTAGTCTTTCCTGCCTCTCAGGTAAGCATAGTAAAAGTAATGGGTTACTGTTTCATGTTCTGAATCTCTGTCAATGAGCACTTCTGCGTCTTGTTTGTTTCAAATATTTCTTTTATGGTGGAGGAAATAAATAGGTATCCCATATCACCTACTTTGCATGTTAACTAATTTTTCTAGAAGAGACCTAGGAATCTAGGACAGCGACATAATGCGCCAGAAAATATAAGAAGGAGCCTGAATTTTCCCTCCAGGTTAGGCTTTTGTAGCACTGAGCCAGATTTGTGTAAGACCAGCAGATCTTTCTGTGAGTATGTGCCCCCTGGGCCATAGGTAACACTTGTGATCATGGTGCCTGTTCAGCTCTCCAAAGAGGGCAGCAGTGAGGAGGAAACCCGAGCTTCATCAATTTGGAAATGGTACCCAAGACAGAGGATGTGTTTACTGAGGTATCCTACACAGAAACCAGCAAAGGCCTTTAAAATCTTGAGTCTGTTGGCCATGCCTTTAGCCACGCCCATATCCGTGTCCATGGGACTTTTCAAGGAGTCTGTCACTTATGTGGTCACAGATATTTACACCATGGACACAGTCACAGACACAGTCATTCTCACTGTGATCATTGGCACAAGCATAGCCAGGGATACTGCCATCGATCTTCAGTAGATCACATGAATGCTAACGTGAGTGGTGTGCTTTTACAAGTATTGACAGACACACTTGGCAGTATTGGTGTGATCATATCCACAATTCTTACAGAACAATTTGGATAGTTCTTTGCTGGTCTTTTCTGCTCTCTTTTTTATTTCTGTATTAATTTTTCCCAATATTGTTCTACTGATTAAAGATGCCTTTCAAGCACTTCTGAGGCTGCCACCAGAGAATGAAAAAGAGATAAACACTGCTATAGAAAAGATTTGGAAAACTGAAGGTTTAATATCCTACAGAGACCCTCATTTTGGGTGTCATTCTGCCAGTCTTGTATCTAGAAAAATTTTTGTACAGGTGACATCAGTTGTACTGGAACAGTGAATTGTACAACAGGTTACGGGAGTTCTTAAAAATGCTAGAGTGAACAATTTGAAAGTCCAGGTAGAAAAAGCAGCATTCTTTCAATGTATGTCTCACTTATATACAGGATTTCGTGATGTCCTTGCTATGACGAAACAGATGGAATCCATGAAATGCTACAAAGATGGCACTGACATCATGTGTCATGAAATATGATTTGCCTGTTGCTGTGAATAATGAAGATTAAATGACTCACTATTGGTAATATTGAGGGGAAATATACTTAAATGTACATAAATGGTGTATTGAATTTGAATTTTTTTTTAAAGTTCAGTCCTATTAGATCAAGATGCTTTTTTAAAAGAAATTTTGAAATGGACTAGTTGTATATATGAAACATTGATTATATATTTAAAAATAATGATAAGGTGAATTACTATGCTTTGTGGTTATTAAAAAGGAATCTTACTAAAAAAATCTTCAGCCAAGCCTGAAGAAGCTGAACTTCATTGATATGCTTATCCATTTTGTTTGGACAAATTTTCCATTCCAAACTTTGAAGTCTCTTTTGGCTCTAACAAACTACATCTATGTTCCAATGTCACTTCTGGTTCTAATACCAGAATGTTCCCTCTCCAAATTCCAAAGAACCCTGCTGTTAACTCCCTCAACCTATACAACTAGGTGCTCAGTGGATAGAGCACTGGAACTAGAGTTGGGAAGATCTGAGTTCAAATTTGGCCTCAGACACTTATTAGCTGTGTGATCTTGAGTGAGTCACTTAACTTATCTGCCTCAGTTTCTTTAGCTGTAAAATAGGGATAATAACAACACCTATCTCTCAGGGTTGTTCTGAGGATCAGACAAGATAATATTTATAAAATGCTTAGCACATTGCTTGAAACATATTGGAAGCTTAATAAATGCTTGTTTCATTTCCTTCCTTCCTTCCTTCCTTCCTTCCTTCCTTCCTTCCTTCCTTCCTTCCTCCTTCCTTCCTTCCTTCCTTCCTTCCTTCCTTCCTTCCTTCCTTCCTTCCTTCCTTCCTTCCTTCCTTCCTTGTTTTCTTCTCCATTAACAGTGCCCTGTAAACTCCTCCAAGCACTAAATCCAACTCTCAGACTGAGAACTTGCCTGTTGATTTTCCAAAGATTGAATCAAAATATCCAACTGCTCCTTGATCTTGAAGACTGTGCTTAACACCTCCACCCTCAGCCCTGCCAGGGCTTGTGCCTCCCAGTGATCTGGTAATTATGTTATCTTTCACTGATACCACTGGTTGGTTGGGCCAATGCTGCGTTTATGCTTTGTCGAGTGACGCAGCAAGTCATTGTCTCTGCAGTGACAGATTCCTGGAGTGGAGCTTAGTCAGAGATGCCCTTGGTGAAAGAGTGATGGTGGGATGTAGCCAACTGAGATGAAAATGACTCACATTTGTATAGCACTTTACAATGTGCTTTAATAGGCCTGACTATAGGATTTAGAGTTGGAGACCAGAGAGACCATTTTTATCCTGGTTACTCATTTCATTTTTTCAATTTAAAACATTAATCAAAGACACACTTTGTGCATATTATTGTGCTAGATGCCAGGTAGGATATAAAGCTAAAATAAGACAAATCTATCCAAGTTCCTCCTTTAAAAAACTGATTAATTTGTAAATTTTTTTCTGTCATCTTTCATTTATATATTATGAAATATCTATTTAATAGATTTTGTTTATTTCTTTTGTTTTTATGTCAATCATTTCTGGATATACTCACCCCACCCTGCCCTATAATTAAACTCTTTTTTTGGTAACAAAATAAACAAGACAAAATACAACTAATAACTTGACCATACCTGACCATGTAGGCAATGGTCTGACTTCAGAGTCCTCCTCCTTTCTTCCAAGAAGAGAAAGGTATGTCTCAGCATCTGTTTTCTAGGACTATTATTGGGTTTTCAGTTATTCAGAGTTAATAAATTCCTCCTTTTAGAAAAGAAACATATTGAGACCATGAAAAACCAATTGATTTACCTAAGATCAAATAGGCAATAAATAATGGATCTGGAGTTTGAACACTGTTTTTTTTTTTAAACTCTAGATATAATACTGTAAAATAAGTTTTTTTAAAAAAAAATGTATATATTTTGTTTGAACACATCAGTCTCTTTCTAACAACCAGATTCCTCAAACCTTCCTTTCCACATCCCATATTACCTTCCTATCAAATACAATAAAAACGGCAGCAGCAGCAACAGTAACAAAAACAATGATGACAGTAGAACCAAGAAAAACTGAAGGAAATGTGCACTGGAGTAAGAGGACCAGGGTTTAAATTCTACCCCTGTCCTTTTCTCTCTGTGTGACATTTTCAGTCTATTCTTCTATAGAAAAAAATAAGGAGGTTAGGCTAGATAGTGTTTAAGTCCTTTTCTAGCTGTAAATCTATGATTCTATGAAATAATATAGTTATTGTGGCAGATAGTTTTTTGTAGTTTACCACTTATTAGAAAAGTATGCTTTTAAAGAATGTTTTAATTTTATTTTTCTCAGTTACATGCAAAAACAATTTTTAACATTTTTAAAAATAATTTTTGAGTTCTGAATTCTCTTTTTTCCTCCCCTCTCTATCATGAGAAGGCAAGCATTTTGATATGGATTATCCATATGCAGTCATACAAAAACATATTTCCATGTTGCATGGAAATATTGCATGCTGCAAATGTCATGTTGTAAAAGAGAACACAAACAAAAAAACCAAGAAAAATAATGTAAGAAAAGTATGCTTCAATCTGTAATCAGACCCCATCAATTCTTTCTTTGGAAGTAGACAGTATTTTTCATCTTAATTCCTTTGGAATTGTTTTGTATCATTGTATTGCTGAAAATAGCTATGTCATTCACAGTTGATCAATGTACAATATTTTGTTACTGTGTACAACGGATCTCCCGGCTCTGCTTAGTTCACTTTGTATCAGTTCATGCAAGTCTTCCCAGGTTTTTCTGAAACCATCCTGCTTATCATTTCTTATAGCACAGTAGTATTTCATCACAATCATATACCACAACTTGTTCAGTTATTCCCCAATTGATGGACAGCTCTTCAATTTCCAATTCTTTGCCATTACAAAAAGAACTGCTATAAATATTTTTGTACACTTAGGACCAGATGTGTGTTTTAATTGCAGTAATTTAGAATCATCATTTTTCATTGTATATGACTTGTTTTGTCTCCTCTTAATATTATCTTCATTTTTATATCATGTTCACTACACATATTGTTCTCTTGGTTCTACTTTGTTTGCTCTGTATCAGTTTATTCCAATCCTCCTGTGTTTCTCTGAATTCTTCATATCTGTGATTCCTTCTGGCATGATAGCATACAGTTACATTTATACATCACAATTTGTTGATCCAGTTTCCAACTGTGCATAAAAATTTGTGTCTAGATTTTTGCTCCCACAAATAATTCTACCATGACTATTTTGCTGTATGTGGGATGTTTCTTTATCTTATTAACCTCCTTAGTGATATAAGCTGAATGGTGGAATCACTGCATTTTAGGGTCTGAACAGTTGATCCTTTCTAAAATAATTACAGATTGCTTACCACAGTCTTTACCAGCAATGATATAGTGTTCCTGTCTTCTCAAAGCACATCTAAATTAACTTTTCCCTTCTTTTAACATTTTTTCCTGACTTGATTGGTGTGAACTGAAACCCTAGGTTGTTTAAATTTATATTTCTCTTATTATGAGTGATTTGAGTTTTTTTCACATTATTATTGCATTTCTTCCTTGAAAAGTTTGTTGGGGGGGCGGAGCCAAGATGGCAAAGTGAAAGCAGAGACTTGCTTGAGCTCTCCCCCAAACCCCTCCAAATACTCATAAAAAATGGCTCTAAACAAATTCTGAAGCAGCAGAACCCACAAAAAGACAGAGTGAAACAAATTTCCAGCCCAAGACAACCTGGATGATTGATCAGAAAGGTGTATTGTGCCGGGCTGGGAGCACAGCGCGGCATGGGCACACAGGCCGCAGCAAACCTGGAGCAGGCCTCAGAGGACTGAATTGCAGGTAGCTGTGGAGGTTTCCAGGCTCATCAATCCACCAATGCCAAAGACAACTTAGAAGGTCAGTGGGAAAAGTCTGTTTCTGTCGGTGCTGATAAAGGAAGGCGGGGTCTCAGCTCCATTCCCCAAGAGCCTGGCCCTGGGGGGCGGGGCAGCTGATTCCCGAGCTTCTGGCCCACAGACTGAGGGGGACTCCAGTGGCTGATCAGAGAGGGATTGCAGGGATCTCTTTGCCAGTGCTGAGGCAGGAATCTCTTGCTTTGCCCCTGTTTGGATCTGGGTCACAGTTCTGGGCAGGTGCTGGGTGAGGAAACTGTGTGGTGGAGCTTGTAGTGGCTGTGGAGGAACCCCTCCTCACAGTTACAGGACAGAAAGGAGTACTTGTAGTCACAGGCCAGGAAAAGAGTAAACACCTCACCCCTTATCATACCACCTTGGAAGAACTGAAAATTTACAGGTCCTACAAGTATATCTGAAAACAGCTGTATAAACCCCCGAAGCTTGGAACAGTACATTCTCCACATTGGAAGCAGACTCTTACCTTAACAAAGAGTTTAAAACTCAAGTAATTGGCTGGGATCATGAGCAAGCAGCGCAAAAAGAGTCAGACTATATTATCTTACTTTGGTGAAAAGAAGATCAAAATATACAACCAGAAGAAGACAACAAAGTCAAAGCTCCTACATCCAAAGCCTCCAAGAAAAATATGAATCAGTCCCAGGCCTTGGAAGAGCTCAAAAGGGATCTTGAGAAGCAAGTAAGGGAAGTAGAGAAAAACTGAGAGTGATGCAAGAAAATCATGAAAAACAAGTCAACAGCTTGCTAAAGGAGACCCAAAAAAATACTGGAGAAAATAACACCTTAAAAAATAGCCTAACCCAAATGGCAAAAGAGGTCCAAAAAGCCAATGAGGAGAAAAATGCCCTAAAAAGCAAAATTGGCCAAATGGAAAAGGAAGTCCAAAATTACTGAAGAAAATACTTCCTTAAAAATTAGAATAGAGCAATTGGAAGATAGTGACTTTATGAGAAATCAGACACAGTAAACAAATCCAAAAGAATGAAAAATTAGAAAACAATGTGAAATATCACATTGGAAAAACAACTGACCTGGAAAATAGATCCAGGAGAGAGAATTTAAAAATTATTGGACTATCTGAAAGCCATGATCAAAAAAAGAGCCTAGACATCATCTTTCAAGAAATTATCAAGGAAAACTGCCCTGATATATTAGAACCAGAGGGCAAAATAGAAATTGAAAGAATCCACAGATCTCCTCCTGAAAGAGATCCCCAAAGGAAAACTCCTAGGAATATTGTAGCCAAATTCCAGAGTTCCCAGGTCAAGGAGAAAATATTACAAGCTGCCAGAAGGAAACATTCAAGTACTGTGGAAACACAATCAGGATAACACAAGATTTAGCAGCTTCTACATTAAAGGACGCAGGGCATGGAATATAATATTCCAGAGGGCAAAGGAGATAGGATTACAACCAAGAATCACCTACCCAGCAAAACTGAGTATAATCCTTCAGGGGAAAAAATGGTCATTCAGTGAAATAGAGGACTTTCAAGCATTCTTGATGAAAAGACCAGAGCTGAATAGAAAATTTGACTTTCAAATACAGGACTCCAGTGGAACATGAAGAGGTAAACAGGAAAGAGAAATCATAAGAGACTTATTAAGATTGAACTGTTTACATTCCTGCATGGAAAGATGATATTTATAACTCATGAGACCTTTGTCAGTATTAGGGTAGTTGAAGGAAAAAAATTATATGTATGTATATATAGATAGATAGATAGAGGGCACAGGGTGAGTTGAAGATTAAGGGGTCATATCTGGAGAATAAAATTAAGGGATGAGAGAGGATGATACTCGGAGAAGAAAGGGAGAGGTAGAATGGGGTAAATTATCTCACAAAAAAAACAGAAAAGAAAAGTCTCTCACAGTGGAGGGGAAACAGGGGAAGGTGAGAGGGAATGAGGGAATCTTATTCTCATAGGATTTGGCTTAAGGAGAGAATAACATATACATTCAATTGGGTATGGAAATCTGTCTTACCCTATAGGAAAATAGGGGGAGAAGGGGACAAGAGAGCAGGGGGATGATAGAGAGGAGGGCAGATTAGGAAAGGGGGTAAAGAAAGAATAGAATAAATGGTAGGGCAAGATAG